GGCACAATGCTCGAGTCAGTCGTCAAGTACGTCCACGGGGCACGTCCTCGACGACGGTATCTACGGCAAACATCGCCCATCAGCGTTCATATACCTGGCGAGACCAAACGACTGTCTGCTGGAACAGCTTCGCACATTTGGCGGCCTGCTCCCAGCGGAACACCTCCCAGTGGGACTCTCGATTTTTCAACCCTCCCACCCATCCCTTAGGGCTCCCTTTCGGCATTTTGCTCCTCAAACAAGGACCCTCATGTCATCGTAAACCAAATGAACCACATTCCCCCTAATTCATGTATGCTTGATATGGAAATAACTGAGTTTACTAGATGGGGTATTCTCCTGATACGAGTAGAGCTACCTACTTGCTGTCAATGTCCGTTCAAACAGCAAATTCTCAATCGCTTGACTTGCGAACGAAACTTTCGATTCCCACCCGTCTGCTGTCGCTTCCACGCAATCAGGCCACCGTTGTTGAGCGGTTGGATCACAGAACTTCGACACTGAAATATGACTCTCAATAATAGTCGTTTCCTGGCCTGAAGATAGAGGATCACCAGTTCTGACGACAATAGACATCGTCTCACAGAATCGCATACTCGAAAACCAGTGCTCAGCTGTGGTAGGTTCTACCATCGCACGGCAGACGAACACCGTGCGGTTCTCTTCGACGTATTTACGGGAGACGCGCCGCTCCAAAATGTACGAGGCTAAACCATGTTCAGAGTAAGTAAAGCCGACACAACTCTTGCAGATTCCGTCGGCCTGCTGATCATCCTGTCATCAAAGTCAAATTGTTAGTTGTTATTCGAATTAGCCGTCCAGCTATAGGAACATCCAATTACCTTCAGACACACTCGGACATCTTTACGGACCCTTGTACCTTGTAAGAACTCCCAGACGGCACGCTCAGTTCTTGCAAAGCTAAAGGGGACATGGTTATTGTCATCGAACTCTACAAAAGTAGTGCCATCAACTGCATCTGGGTAAAGTCGTCTTGTACGTCCCGGGCAAGGCACCAAATTCATTCCGTTCTCCGCATAAAGCTTGTCCAAATCACCGTAAACTTTGCCGCTTTGGTGGAGTAGTTCAGCAAAGACTTGTTCCTTGTTGCCCAGCATAGGATTCTTTGCGTTGCGCAGGTCTCTCAACAGCTGTAGTAGATACACAGAATTAGTTTATGCTCAGTGCAGTAGCAAGTAAGTATCGATGATGCGAGTGAGTTACCTCATGGTCGATCCTCCGTCGGAGTAAGCGCCTAATGTTGCGTATCGTACGCTTTTGCGCTGCTATTGCTTCGGCTAGTTTGGCGTTTTCTCGTTCTGCTTCTCGCCGCATCTCTAGCTCCCGAGTAGCAAGGCGTTCCCACGGTGATTTAGAACGTGCCGGACTCGATGTCACTTGCGGTTTAGCGGTCACGAGCAGCAGATCTTGCAGTTTTCGTGAGAGCTCCAATACAACGTTTTGAAGATGTTGGATCTGCTCCTTGCGTGTTTTGCGTCCCGTATGCCTTTGTGAAGGTGGTAGGACAATAGAAGATCGAACAAGGCTTGTCTCGAAACCTGGAAGCTCTTGAGAGCGATTTGATCGTGGCGTCATGGCAACAATCTCACCCAGCTCGTCGGTTCGGAGCCAGTTGAAGTGCAATAGGGCCAATTCTTCACCTCGGAAACATGCTTCTTCCGCGGTGGTCACTGGTGCAGCTGTCGTTATCGATTTTGCGTTTTCAACTTCCATGTCAATGATATCGAGCGAGTGCGTGCGCCTCAACGTAGGCCTTGGAATAATACGGTGGGGAGGGGTAGCAAGATCGCTGTTTCCGGAAGAACCTTGGATCACTGCAACGCAGATTCTTTCGCAAACCATGGTCAAGTTGCTGAGTGGAACGCAACTTGAGTTATGCGATGACATTGTCGTTGCGGTATCGCTTTTGATGATGCGAATGGCGTTACCTGATGAGCTACATAATCAATTCAGACAAAACCATCTGTCATTGGTGATAATACGGGGCCTCGCAATTGTGACGGACAGGGTTCAAGGCTCTTAAAAA